GTACACAGATGTTGAAATGTTCTTTGGTGTAGAACTTGGGTTTCTATGAATAAAAGGGGTCACTGGATTAAATGTTTTTTTTTTTGCTTAAACTAAAACCATTTTCCCATTATGCTTTTATTTTTAATTCAAAATATGTTCTCATTACAAAAAATAAAACTAATATATATGAAGTAAAACTCCCCTCTGGTGATCTATTAGTCATACTCTGATTCTTCCCAATAGTGATAACGATTAGAGGCTGGTACGCACATTCTGCTAAAGTTTTATTTATTTATTTATATGATACAATTAAAATCTTAATATAGAATTCTGGCATAAAATCCAAATTGAAAATAACTATTAAAATGTGTTTGTTTCTCGAATGTTAGTACGTTCTTTAAAAATGCTAAGTATAAAATGGAAAGCTATATGCAGGCATGATAGCACATGCCGATAATCCCAGCAGTCTGAGAGGCTGAGAAGGAGGATCACAAGTTGAGCCCAGCCTGGGTACGTGATGACGTATGGAGACTATCTCAAAATTAAAAAACAAAAACAATGGTCTGGCACGTATCTCAATGTGAAGTCCTCAGTTCAATCTCTAGTATCTCAGGAAAAAGAAAAAGATGATTTAGTGATTATTACTACTAATCAAATCTGTTTTAAAATTTAATTTGCTTAGAAATATAAAAGAACCTTTGAAACTAGTGACATACACAGACACTGGACTATATAAAATTATTATTTTATTTTGCTTTACGCTTTTATGTATTTGGTACAGGATCTACAGGGTCTCACTACACAGACTGAACTCACAGTGACCCTTCTGTGTTCAGCCTTCCAAGCACTGGGATTACATGTGTACCACCACACCATCTCATTTGCCATCTCAGCACACCCCGGGGGGCGGGGCGGGGCCAGCACAGCACACCAGGGATTGAGCCCTGGCTGCTGCGCTCAGCCGAAGCGGGTGCTTTAGTCCACTGAGCTATCTGGCCAGCCCAAAATTATTATTTTAAATGGTTTAACATATACATGTAAAAATTCTCTTTCTAGCATATCTAGTCATCAGTATGTTTTATAGCACAGACTTACAAGTGGTGCTTCTCTCCAAAATTGCTGCCTGGGTGTTTTAAACTGGCAACTGCACAATAAGGCAATTCTAAGCCCACCCGCATACAATTTGCTAGGAGGACTGAAGGAGATGGTCCACACACCCAGACTGGGGTATGTCAGTGCAGGAGGGTACGGAGGCGCTACACACTCAGCAGGACCGTCCTGTGTGGCACGACGCACTCTGGACACAGCAGGCAGGGGCGGGGGTGCGGCACATGGTCAGCCCTGTGGCCCATGCCTGCTGGCTGCAGTGTGCTGTGCTGCTAAGTGAGGATGTTCCCTGACTTGGGTGTATTAGATGCTTTTCCAACCTAAGTCAATAAATACACTTGTGTACCAGGCACAGCACTCACTGACAGCGTGAGTGAAATCTAAGTGATACTTACAATATGAACAAAAGCATCACTGTAAAGGGTGTATCAACATAGTGGAAACTATGTTCGAAAAGAACTCATTAGTTTCATAGCGGATTTACAGAACAGTGTCATTTTTAACCCTTTGGAGCCCTCCCACCGAGGAACGTGTGGGACCTCAGATTCCCCGACGCTTCCCACGGTACTCTTCATGCTGCAACCGCAGTTTTAGGCTGACCTTCTAGGATTAAACCCAGCACTCCACCTTCCAGTGCTGTATTTCAACTCTAGTAACACATCAAGCTATTTTCTTGTGAAGTTTATCAAAACAGAACCATTTTACACTGTTAAAAGAACTCTTAACCTCAGCACTGATAACAGAACCGCAGACACAGAATTTCTAATGCACCACATTTGAAGGCTTAAAATGGGGTTTGGAGTTAGTTTCTTGGTGTAACTCAGATGATAAAATGTTTTCAAACCTAAAGCAATGATTTGTGGTAAACATGGACTGCTCTTGGTGGGGCCTAGTTCATCCACCAAAAGTGAAGAACTTACCACCTAGCAGTTACACACCTGCACCAAGGCCCCATGCCTTCTGGGTGCAACGCGGAGCCAGAGAGGCAAGGACACGCAGGGAAGATCCTGGAGGCACGCAGAAACCTCTGAGCTGGTGCGTATGTCACCTACGTGAAGTGGGAAGGTGGGACGGAATCTGCAGATCTGACTGTAGGCATGCAGACTTTCACTAGTGCCAAAGGAATTCCTTTTTTAGTTTTCTAAAGGACTTTTCACTATGTTCTTTCATCTGATCCTTGCAATTACCAAATAAGGTAATAATGAAGAAAAGTGGCCCACAAAAGTTTCCAAACTGGGCAGTAAGTGCTATAAATATTCACGGAAATGTGCGAGGCAGGGCTCCCTTTTCCTCTTTCAAAGAACAGGACCTCAGGGATTCATCTCTGTTAAACCATCAACAATAACAAAACTTTAAGGGTCTAAGTCCATCCTCTGTGGTTCACTCTCACGCATGTGTGCACGTGTGCACACACACACAGAAAGCACATGGAGACAACTGGGTTGCCAAGCAACCATGCTAATGTGTAAGGCTAGCTCAGACGTACAAACTCTATGACTTAAGCCAATTAAGTGTAGTGCTGCACCACAGTTTAGCCTTGGGCTGATCAACACAAATCAGACAGAAGAAAGGCATGAACTGTCTTTTCTAGGTGACATTCATAGCCTAAGAGAGAACGCTAGGTGAGACTTCCTGCAGTTGCTGAACATCAGCAGGGTATTTCTCTTGCCTTCTAATCACACCAAAGAAAGCTACCAAAGAGCTAGGAGAAAAACAACTGAAGTTACTAGACAAACTACAAGGGAAGTCTGAAGAAATGTAAGGTACGAGGGAACAGAGGCAGTTCGGCCTCTAATTCTTCAAATTACTAAGTGTGTTGAACAAGGAGTGTAACTACATTAAGCCACTGCTACAAGGAACTAAGCAGTTCACTCTCAGAGAAAAGAGACACAAATTTTAAAACAAAAGAAGGTTCCTATAATACTAAATCTAAATAGGGAGCATCCAGTGAATTCACACATCTATGTATTTTTCTTGGCTCCATCCACTAAAGAAAGCAATGACAATTCAAGTAGTGATGAATTTACCAGATCTTAATTTCTATTATCATTTCCTGAGAGGAACGACAGGTTTTTAGAAAAATGGCCAATAAAATTCCAAGCAGACTTAAGATATTCTGTTATATCACAAACACTAATGAAGCTATGCCAGGAAGATTTTGGAGCATTCCCAGTGGCATTCATTTGAGACAATTTGAGCATCTACAGAACACAACCATGGTAGGTTACAGTACATTATAAAGAAAATAAGTGATTTCAAAAAGATGTGTATGCTGGGCACAGTGACAAACAGCAGACAGAGGTAGGATGAGCAACATTTTGAAGCCAGCAACATAGTGAAAACCCATCTCAAGAAATGAAGAAACAGAGACAGACAGACAGAGGAGAGAGAAGAGAGAGGAGAGAGGGAGGGAGGGAGGGAGGAAAGGGGGAGAGGGAGAGGGGGAGAGGGAGAGGGAGAGAGAAGGGGAGGGGAGAGGGGGGAGAGAGAGAAATGGAGAGTTAACACATGTGGAAGAAACAATATAAAATTTCCCCATTTTTAAATTCTCAATTTAAACCATCATCAATGCATACTAAAAACTATAGAAAATATATATGAAAGCATCACTCAGATTACTATTAAAAACAATAAACCTTTATAATGCAGAAATGTGACAATCATCACTTTAATCAAGCAATTAATTATTACAAATACTGAAAAAACCTGTATTATATACCCCAGGGTTTAATATAGTAAGTATACAGCTTCCTATATGAATTGCTTAATCATATAATGATTAAACAGGTTCTTTTCTGACAATGAAAGAACATACTATTATTAATTATACCAAAATAATAAGCAAAAATTGGAATGAGCATAAACAACCCTGAATTTATTGTTACTTATAAATATACTAGCTACAAATATTTAAACGCAGCTAATCATAATAAGATACTTGAACTGACCTGTCCTCCTTACAAAATCTAAGTCACAGGAAAAAAAGAGGAAACTGTCTCCAAGGAGACTAAAGAAACAGAATAAACAAATGAAATTTGAGGAGTTTAAATGACACATCAAGAGGGAGAAAACTACAAAAGATATTTTTGGGTCAATTACTGAAATTTGAATACAGATTGTATATTAGAAATATTACACAATTTTGTTAATTTTTGTGATAGTGATAATGGTATTGTATAATCATGGAGAATAGTCTTAAGGCTGGGGAGATAGTTCAGTAGAATAAACACTTGCCTGGCAAGTACAAGGGTCTGAGTTCAATTCCCAGTTCCACCAAAAAAAAAAAAAAAAAAAAAAAAAAAAAAAAAAAAAAAACCAGTCCCTGAGAAAAGTCTTAGTTTTAAAAGATGCGTGCTTAAGTTTTTAAGGGTACAATATTGCAAAGCCTATCACTTGAAATGTTTCTCCTAAAAATATATACATCATAGAAATGCATATATATACATAGAACATAGAAATAAAACAAATGTGATAAACATAGACATTGAATGTAATTCTTTCAACATTTGCAAGACAAATTTATTTTTATTTATTTATTTATTTATTTTTGGTGGTACCAAGGATCAAACTCAGGACCTTGCGCTTGCCAGGTAAGCACTGATTTCACTGAGCTATCTCCCCAGCCCAAAACTGATTTTTTAAAAAAATGTATTTAGTCCAGGGTCTACAGGGTCTCACTACACAGATCAGACTCGTAGTGATCCTCCTATTTTCAGCCTCCCAAGTGCTGGGATTACAAGCATATGCCAACACAGCCAGTCTCAATTATGCCCCAGGGGCAAGGCTGATACAGCATGCTGGGGATTGAAGCCGGGTCCCTGCATCTGCCTAACCAGGTGCTTTAATCTGAGCTATCTGGCCGGCTCCCAAGACTGAATTTTTTAATAACAGGAAGAAATACTGCCCCTTACCCTGGAGCCGCTCATCAGTGACTATCTTGTTGGTCTGGTTCCAGGTACTGTCTATAAAAATGACTTTCTTCAGGGCTACCCCTTTACATTTGCCCTCACTCAAATCGCAGCTTGCCTGTTCGTCAGTTCTCTTGCGTTTAAGAGACAGCTTCTCAGGGTCATCAGCTGTGCCTTTACTTTGAATTCTTTTTTGCAGATGAAAAGAAATATCTTTTATTGAGATAGACTGAGGACCAGGAAAAATAAGTGCGACCTAAAACAAAGAAATGCAGGTCAGCTGTGTGCTATGGTGACTTTTAGCACAAATTCTGTTTGACTTAAAACTTTAAAGAAAAAAATAAGTTGAATATCTGAGAAGTGAGATATTAAATTGGTTTTGTTATATATAGTTTCCTTACACGTGTGGTAAAGTTTCTCGCTCTTACCTAATAATCTGTGTAATCATAATACACTACCTAAAAGTACTATTTCAAAGTAAGTTATTCACAGATTGACAGGGCAGTGTTAATAGTATCTTAAATCAAAGAACTAGCATTTTGGGTTAAGTAGTACAGTACAATTCTATTTAATCAATATAAACAATATCAAAAATATATAAACAATATCTAATTGAACAGGAAACACAAACGTATTCCTAGACTCAAAGCTCAGGTATAATCCCCAAACACAACTTTCTAAATAAATTCAATTATATTGACAGGTAGGTAGGAAGACAGAGGTACACGAGATAAGAAAGTAAAAACCTTAAGTAGTTCCTTCTAGAATAAATGAACGTATTCATTTTCAATGCTGTTTCTACATTATCTACAACTAAAGACAGCCTTGTGAAACCTAGAAGGGTTCACATGCTCTTTAGAAGTACCAAGGCCCAACGGTCTTGAGATCTGTTATACAATCATTTATCAGCAAAGCCAGGAATATACCATTCAAGTGACAATTTCAATATGTGAAAATCAACTAGATTGTAGAAATGAACAAGACACCCAGACAGCCAAAAGAAATATTAGAAAGGCTATGTGTTAACGCTCTCAATTTAAAGAGGACTGGAAAATCCTCCTATACCAGTCTTTTTCTTGTGGAGACATTCCCACATTTCTAATTTGGTTTGCCGGTCTGTGTCAAATCAGACCATCTACCTAGAGAAGAGGCAACAGAGTGGTGAAGAGAGAAAGAAAAGCAGGCACAGTGATACTGGCAAAGAAGAATACCCTGAAAAAATGAAGCATAAAAACTATTTAAAAATTAGCAAACGAGTCCAAAAAGTATTTAAATTTAAGATCATTTGACCTGTGAAAATATCAATCAAGATACATACTGATTAATGTTAATGAGCATAAAACCAGATAGTCAGAAAAATATTAAATTGTGTCCAAGCAAATTCAGAGTGGAAATGGGGTTAGAAATCTACTTTTATATTCATTTTGAAAACTTGTAAAAAGAAATCTGCCTACTTCATGGTCCATTTCTTCATATTCTGGAATACAAGGGTATGTGTAAATGTTTACAAATTCAGGTGCTAAGAGTTTTGCATGGATAGCAGTGCTTTTGCCATCTGTTTCATTTGGATGTTTAATAATGTCAATCTTCAGAGGCAGCTAAAGTAAAAAAAAAAGGACAAATGAACAAAACAAATATAAGATCTGCAATCTGCATTTAATAAAAGTGGCCTTAAACACCAAGGTCACAGCAAGTTCCTATATAAAGTCATACTTTTTTAGAGCAAAATATAAAAAATGGTAGAAGTCCTAAAGCAAACCTACATTTCTTCCTCAATATAGTTAATCATGTAGCAGAACAATTATTTTCAACTTAACACATAATCTGCCCTTAAAACAAACAACCAATTTTATTTTCATTTAGGTTATATGGACATTGAGTCCAAGTCCTTACATTTCAGCATCTATGCCAAGAACATATTTCATAGTTCATACAAACTTGAGGCTTATTTTATGCCATTTCAAAAGGAGACTCAAGTTTAAGCTTTACTTCAGACCTAAAACTCAAGCTGAGATTCCAGCCTATGGCCTTTCACGTCGGAAGCATTATCCAATACTGTGACTTCGGCAGCACATTTTAACACCAAAAACTAAGCAGTTATCAACTAGAAAAAGAGTAACAGTGTAAGACTCAGAGGCAGAAGCTGTACCCCAAATAACTCTCTTCCAAATTATCTTGCCCAAATATATCCCTTAATGTTCACTATCTGTTAAGGGTTACATAACACCTCTGCACAAATGTCTTGAATTAGATTTTTCTATTATTTTACTTTGATTTACTTGGCTTAGCTCTCTTTCTAAGGTCCATCCATGTCCTGTTTTCAGCCCTGATTATGAAAATGAAAGCTGAGTCTTATCTCATCCATTCTGCACAAACTACTCTCCCCAAATGACGTCTTCATTTTAGACCTTAAGAGGCCTTTCTTCTGTGCAAGGTACTCTCCCCGACTTCCAGACCCTCATTAGACACCAAAGAGGCAGGATTTTAGGATCTACCCTGAGCCATCCAGTAACTTTACCTTGGAATATAAAGTTGTTTTTGTGTTTAAAAATACACATCTGAAGTACACAACCTAATATTAAAGTGTCAAAGTATAGTACCTCTGTGCACCAATCAAAACAATCAAGACAATGACCTGCTACAACCAAGTCTTCCCATTCCTCCTTCCTACCAACTGCTACTCCTAGTCCTTAGACGATCAGCTGTCTCTTTGGATTAGTATGCATGTTCTAGAATTGTATATGAATGGAAATATTTATCATGCACTTTTCATTTGCCTTCTTTAACCTATTAATAATTAGTTTGAGATTCATCCATAACATTAGCTTTGAAGCTTTTTTTGTTCTTTCTTACAGTACTGGGGATTGAACTCAGGACCTTACGCTTGCCACCCAAGTGCTTATTCTACGGAGCTATCTCCCTAGCCCTCAAAGCTTTTTTTTACATGAGCAGTTGTTGTATACTCTAAGACCCTATTTCATATTTTTTCTTTCTAGACAATTATATGAGCACAGGATGATATAAGTAATATACTCTAGAAGGACCTCTGCCCATAAATGAGTACCACAAATAATTTTCTACTATGGTTTCAAAGACTGTCTCCTCACTTAGACCTAGTGATCAGGTATAAGTTAGAGCCACTTGTTCAAACTGTCAAACCAACATCTAGTTATAGAGAAAATATACCATGTAAGTAGGTAGTTCTTGAAAGTGTTTTTTGGTTTTGTTTTTATCAGTCTACTTCTGGTTGACACTCAGTCTCAGTTGACATTAAATTCCCTCTCTCCCCAGGTCTATGAGTACCAGGTGGGAAGTATCCTATCCCAGGAACAGTAAAAAAGAGAAAAGGGGAAAAAAAAATCAGGTAGTGACTAAGTGTTCTAGTATAAATAAAACTGACTTTTCTTACATGGCTGAGGAGTAGAGTTGAAAATTCCAAAAGCTATCACAACCAATAACCTGGCCACTTTGGAAGAACAATTTTTATCAAGAACATAGGATTGTTATTAGTTTTATAAATTATGTATTTAGACTATTTTTTAAACAATACAATATAAGAAGGGAAACTTTTACAGACTACTATCTTCAAGTATGAAACAATTATGCACAATTTGTGACCCTGAGTTTCCTAATTGAGTTGGCCGAAGATTTCTGACACTATGAAACCAGAGGATAGAAACAGAACAAATTAAGAAAAATGTGTTCTAGTTCACACATATTCATTCTTTACAGGAAGATACATTTTAAAAATGACAGGGTAGGGCAGGCAGGTGGAGTGAAAGTGTTGGTTTTGAGTATCAATCAGTGCTGTAATATTTATGTCTTTTACTACAGATTTACTACAAACCTATCTGCCCAAATATACTAAGCCCTCTCAGCAGGGAGACCCAAGCATTTCTCCTTGTGATTATCATTGTTCCAAAAATAACACTCAAGAAAGCCTTATAAAGTAATCTTTTAAGCTGGGACTCTAATAAAATTGAACTCTGGTGCCATCTGATTATTTTCTCTCTCTTTTGAACAACCCTAAGAACACTATCTCTTTTAAGTGCATTTTTTTTTTTTTTTTACTGATTTAAGAAATTCATACTCTACATTAAACTGTAAGTATTTATGAATTTATTCCCTAGGCCATGATTTAAAGTTTGGGGGACTTACTCATTATGTTGTTATCCTGCCTTCCCAAGCAAGCTAATCTAAAAGCAAATGTTGAAGGATTCATTCAAAATAAGCCAGTACTCTAGGAGGTTCAGGCAAAAGGATCACAGGTTCAAGCTCTACCTCAACAACCCAATGAGACTCTGTCTTAAAATTTAAAAATTTTGGGGCCAGGGAGATAGCTCAGTGGAGTAAATGCTTGCCTGGAAAGTACAAGGTCCTGAGTTCAACCTCTGGTAACACAAAAAAATAAATAAATAAAAATAACAATAATAATAATTTTTTTAAAAGGCTGGGGATGTAGGTCATTTCAAAGGTCATGAGTTCAATCACCAATACCACCTACATACAACTATAGTAGGAATTAGAATATTTTATAGTTTTACTACTATTAATATAATAAAGTATATATGTGGCCACTACAATATAAACAGCTTAGAAAACTGCATAATCCAGACCCCTTGGAATTAAGCAAACACTTGGCATAGTATTGTGAATCATTTCTATAAAACAGTGGACACTGGCCTACTGACTTGGAAGAATAGTCCTCTACTACTATATTCTATGAAAATATCAGATCTATAAATACATCACTGGCTTTTATTTTCCTTATCTGCAATTCTTTCTGAACACGATACTCTTCAGATGAAATTTTAATTAAATATTTTCTTCATGTGAGTATGATAAAAACAGGAGACATAACAATTCTGTGTATAGTAAAAAACTATAAAATGTATCAGTCCCATACGATAATAGGAAACTTAAAAAAATTATTAACTGCAAGCTTTCAGATTTTCTGAACCAACTGTGAAGGCATTTCCTTATTCTTAGCTGGCAAGCTCTCCACTCCTCTGAATGTGTGATTTTAGATCCTGGAGGAGACCACAACTTTACAAAGGTGAAATATTGGCTAAACTATAATTTAAACACCAAAACGAGTGAAAAGTGCTTTTCAAATCTCAAATTAAACAAATCTGAAAAGCACAGTATTTTGGTATACAGCTGCAATTTACTTCCTCACTGACAAGTCCTAAAGGGACTATATACATAGAATACATTCTCTCTAAAGTCCCAACAGATCAAAACCACCTTTTATATATTATTTGATTTATTCCTAACATTTGGGTCAGTGTTAGAGAAGTTAGAACACATGTAATAAATTTTCTAATTATGTGTGCATAATGATTATGGACATCACACCTATAAAAAGTAGTCTTGGAAAGCACCAAAAATATAACAGTAAGCAATCTATTCAAATAAACTTTTAAACGTGGTTTAAAATCATTTTAACAGCTCAATGAATAGGCTTTTCTCCTTTATATTCTAGTTTCGTTGAGCTTAGGTCATTGTATTTGCTCCATTTTTTCACATAGCATGGGGCTAAGTCCCAAAAGCCAAGGTGAAAATTAACACTAGTTTGATTAGGACTGTTTTCTCAAAGGCAGTCAAATAATCTGAGGCAATTTTTGAAACTTAAGTAAGCTTATGAACTTGTCTTTCAGTATTCATGTTTATATCACACTTTTTTAAAAATTTAAATGTTACAACTATTAATTTAAAAATACATTTAATTTCATCAGAAATACCAACCATTTCAGATTCAAGTATTTTTCCAGAGACAAGAAAAACAAACAGGTTTAGCAACCTGTGACTATATTTTCCACTAAGACAATTCATTTTCATAATGACATCATTTATCAAGCTTATCAGTTATATTAGGCATGTGTGAAACATCTTTTCAAAATCTTTTTTCCTACTTTTGAACAAATTTCTTACCGACCTTCACAAGCGGAATCTGTTCAACGGGCACATTTTCAACAGGGACGTAACACGTATAGCAGTAGAACATCCTGGAGCCACCACACTTGAGACATTTTGACCTCCCACTTTGCTGAGCTTTTTGAAGAATTTCTTGAGATGCTAAGCACAAGTTTTGAAGGGGATCTTCTGATGCTATGAAAGCAGCGTCTGGCTGTTTTGTTTCCACAAATTTTGCACTATTTTCTTCACTTTCCTTAAGAAATACAGATGGACTGACAGACATTCTTCTTTTAAGTCACAGTGTAAGATCTATTTCTAAAACACATCATAGGTGCACTGTTAAAAAAAGAAGTAGGAGCAAAATAAAAACAGGAAACATTTTACTGTCTATAAAGAAAACTAATTCATGACTATGTGCTGGTCTTAAAACTATTAATAAATATTAGTGAGTTTTAAACCACTAAATTGGCATGCTTTTTTTTTTTTTTTGTATTTAGGAAAGAGACTACAGGGTATTCAGGATCTCACTAGATTGGACTTGTAGTGATCTGCCTGTTTACAGTCTCCCAAGAGCTCGGATTACAGGTATGAGCCACCACGTCCAGTTGCCCAGTCTCAATTGCCATCTCTGCGCGCCCTGGGGGCAGGGCCAGCAGGGCAGGCCTGGGGATCAAACCCCCAGCCCCTGCTTGCAGGCGCTTTAATCTGCTGAGATATTTGGCCAGCCCCTGACATACCTTAAAATATAAAATCAAGAAGCAATAAACTCAAAAAACCGAGTTACGCTTATCTTTTTGGACCACTCCTTCCACAAAAAGGTAAGCACTATCTTTAAAAATTACTTCAAATATAAAGTTTAGGTACTGACAATCCATTTTCCTAGTACCTTTTTTGTTCTACAGATGGCAATTATGTTTTATAAAAATTGGTATTGCAATGGTTGTGTATCACTGTCAGCAGGAATATATTTTACTCTGTAGACGCTAACTCTGAATTAACATTACTGGGCTTAAAAAAAAAAAATTACTGGGCTTGACATTAAGTTAACTCCAGTGAAATTGAAGGGCTGCAGCAGTATCAATAAAAGTTAGCTGGATATTGTGAGGTGCAACACGGTCCCTGAGGCAGTCACAGAAATTCTACTTTTACATCCTCTCATTAGCTTTGTGCATCTGTACTTCAGAAGGTGCTCAGCCCCTACTGAGGAGAAAGGAACATCAATGAATCTAACATACAGCCTTGTTGAGTCCCCACCCAGGCCCCCAGCAATGGTGTCTATTTCAGAGCAGGTGGTCAGGGAGGTCTAGGCAGCTGAACACATGGAAGCTTGCAGAAAGGCAAATGGGGCCACATGGCAGGTGGGGCACACACCCAACTCCTCAGCAGTGAAGCCCCTGCGCCAGGAAAACTTCCACACTTCTCCTGCATATCTCACCTGACTGTGCAGTTGTGTCCTCCAAACACAAACATGGACTCTCCCTGGTTTCTGTGAGCCACTCTAGCAAACAACTGAACCTGAGGAGTGGATTACGGGAAACACAATGTACAGCTTGCTGCAAGATGTCCTGGAGGCGCCAACCTGCAACTAGGTCAGAAGCTGGGACTGTCTTGGGTGTAAACCCTCAACTGCAGGCTCTGACACTATCTCCAGCTACAGTCAGAACTACATTCAATTCCAGGACTCCCAGCAAGTGTACACTGCAGAACTGCCTCCATGTTGCTGAGGAGAGACCCCAAAGCATTTGAGGTTGTGGGAGTTTCCCACCTTGACTCTGGCGTGACAGCAGAGAAAAATAAGACTTTGCTTTTCCTAATATGAATATGTTCTAAAATATACATTCTTCTCCAACCTAAAGCATACCAATAAAAAATGAGAGCCAGCTACTACCAATCCCACAGCATGAAGTGCGTGATCTTAGAAGTTTTCAATTTTTACAAAGTAGCATTAACATTCAAAGAACATATAATGCTTCTGAGAAATGTATTACACCATTCAGAGCTTTTAGGACTAGAAATAAAATAGTAATGTTTCTGCTAATATTTTCTTCAAAGAAGGGGTGACGCCTGCCAAGATCATTACTTGCATGCCCTGGATGCAAGATCTCTTCCAAAGAAGAGACAGAGGTTCTAGTGATTTGACATGCATTCCATAGCTGAAAATGGATTCTCTTACTACAAAGGCTTGTGACACTGTGGTGTTTACGAAGTCTTTGAGCACAAACACCAACATGAGAAAGGCTGAGTCTAATCGGAAATTTTCTGTGGTCTCCCAAACACAAAGTGAACAAAAAGTCCAGACAAACATTCAACATAATTTGCTAACAAGAAGTTTGTGATGCTAATTTAATTACTAGAGAGTTTGTCAATCCCAGCGAATTTGAGACCCAAATCAAGAAATGTAAAGAAAATAATGCAGGTCACAGAAGAAAAACGTACTTGCCAAATTTACGCAAGAAAACCGAAATACATGCAGTATTTTTGTTGTATAGTGACTCAGATTTAAATTTGAGGTGGTTCAAGGAAGGCAGTATTTGAAGCTCATGATCCAACTCCCTCTTCCTGCCTCACAAATGGAAAATATGATTTACTTTTGCCTACTACTCCAAATCAACCACCTAAAAACAGCTTCTAGGGATGGATAAGATACTTAGCTGCTGTCTTTTCTTGGAGTCTCAGAAGCCTCTGGAGAAAACATGAAAATCTTATAGTTTATCCCTAGAAAATGCATACAGCAGAACCGTATTTTCCACACAACTTTAGGTGTTTTGCAGAATCTAGTTACAGATCCAAGAAAAGACATCTGAGTAGGACATAAAATTCCCTTTAAGGACAGAGCCACCTTAAAATTTGGAGAAGGCACACTTGGTAATATAATCCCAGCACTCTGGGAGGCTGAGGCAAGGAGGACCACAAGTTTGAGCCCAGCAAAGCAATTTAGCTACTTTTTTTTTTTTTTTAATTTTTAAGAGAACAGAAAAATAATAGGCAAGACATTAGAAATGATACATAATTTTTAAAAAAGATAGGCATTCAAAATTGTTAACTGCATGGCCTTCAATGTAGTTGCTCAGATTACCAGATATAAGCATGTAAAATTAGTCAAAGTTTCTAAGCATTAACTGCTACCTCCACAAAAAAACAAGATAGAAAATAGTAGCATAATCAGCTAGTATCCAGCTACTTAGCAAGATACTTTTTCAAACAAAAAACTAAAAAGAGCACTAAACATGAAATTTAGTGTGAAAGCCTTAGGTTCAACCCAGTTCCCACAAAAAGTTTGGGAAGAGGTTCTGTTACAGCAACTGTGGATGCACCACGTGTCGGCTACAGCAAACCAAGGGTCCAGCATCAATGCATTTTGGAAGCTAACTGTGTTTCAGCTATATTCCCTTGATCTGAGCTGTTCTTTGTCACCTGCGGTCCCTCCTGAGAACTACTTTAAAGCTTTAATAGTTCTGAGTTATTCAGAGCACAGGACTTAACCTAAAAAGGACTAGATCGATTCAGTATGCCTTCACTTGCCTGGGTACTTCAGTAGCTACGTACTGGTTCTGCATGTGGAAAAAGGGGATCTAGACACAGTGGGGCTGAAGAATGTATTTCTTGCAGATACAATCAAGGTCAATGTGACTGCTTGATATGCAACTAAAAACTACTGGTGAGTTTTTGGAAATACTGTAGAGCCTACAATGTGCATTGTCTTTTAAGATGTCTCAAGAAATATAGCCTTGAATTTCACAGGCCTTCAACTCACATTAACTAAACAGATATTAGGGAAGCCTTCCTCTGAAAAACCAAACACCATGATGCCTGTGTGGAGACGAAGGAAAATACCTCTGACTCACTACTTCACCTATCAACTCTCATCTACGGCTGAAGGCCATAGTTGTAAATCAAGGGCAGCTCCCAGCAAAACTCTGAAGTCATGTGAGCAGGGAATATGCCTCAACCTAGCCAATACTCTGCCTCAAATGTGCACAAGTAATTTATTGCAAATGTGATTACTCAAAATGTTCATACTGTATTTGTTAACATCAAATCTATGTTGAGGAAATATAACTGGAGTTGTGGGCATTAAAAAGACTTAGAAAACGTCATGGCTGTTATTAAGTAACAAATAGTTTCAGCATATCTACAGTATCACCCTACAATTTAGGCTGAAAAAATAATTTTTTACTCTTCCGTCTAGCAATTTCCAAAAGCCTAACTATCCTCACCAAGTTGCATCACTTCTACCTTGCACATAACTTTCTATTTTCAGACTCAGTCAGGACTCCGGGTCATTTCTTTAGTATCTCATAAGTGAGCTACAGTAATCTCTTTTGGCTCTTCTCCTCTGAGTATTTATTGGTTCCACACATTTGATATGGAAAGATGTGCTTAGAATAAAGGAGACTTCAGAGAAGCTCAAAGCCTAGAATTCTTTCCTGAGCTTGCATATTCCTGATTCTTGTGATACAGGAAGAATTCGACAAATATTTCTTAACTAGTTAAAGCCATTCTGAACAGTCATTCAGTAAGCACAGCCCACCTGATGTACCTGACAAACTGCTCTTATGGGCCATCTGCCGCCTGTACAACGAGCAGCCTGGTCACTTTTTTTTTCTCCCTACACAAAACAATAAAGAAAAGTCCTAACTTTTCCATCCCAGTATATTAACCTACTTCTCCATGGAATCTGTGTAAAATCCCTCTACCCTGCATTGTGAGCCAATTCAGTGCTACGTAAGACCCACTTCAAATGTTTTTTTCTGGAGTATTTTTAAACTTTTACTAGCACACGTCTACAGTGCACAATGCTGGCAGCCACCTTGGGGACTAGGTATATGTACTTAACGTATGTCAATTCTTCCTACCCGCCAACAGCATCCGTGGACCCCCTCTGCACTGCCAAGACCTCTCCCCCGTTTCCCACTGCCCACCCTTAAGAACTGGCCATCTAATCTGCACAGGTCCAGCGCTCACGCCTCCGAAGTCCAGTAAACCAGCGCTTGCGCTCTGGACAGGCGTCTCCACCCACGCACCCCACGGAGGGCGCGGCACCGTCCTCGGCCCACCGGCCCTGCGCCCTCCGGCCCGCCCGCGGCTCCGGCTCCCGGGGCGTCCCTGACACCACCCCGCGCTCCCAGCGCACCCCGGCCGCGTCCACCCCGCTCCTGCGCGCTCGACTTCCGTGCTCAGCACCCCGGGAGGCCCGCAAAGACTGGAAAGGAGGGGTGTCCTGGGGGCTGGCTTGGAGGGACGGGCTCTTCCTGGGGTGCAAAGCTCGAAAACCGTCGTTTGGGGAGCGGGTGAGGAAATATCTGGGAGCCTTTTCCCCGCAGGGCCTTCCACATCCGAC